CTGAAGTGACTGAAGACATCTCACTGTCCCAATACCTCTCAGTGTTTCTTAATCCAACATTCTGAAGTAGGCTGAAGACATCCCATTGTCCCAATACCTATCAGTGTTTCTTAATCCAACATTCTGAAGTCGTTGAAGACATCTTATTGTCCCAATACCTCTCAGTATTTCTTAATCCAACATTCTGAAGTGACTGAAGACATCTCACTGTCCCAATACCTCTCAGTGTTTCTTAATCCAACATTCTGAAGTGACTGAAGACATCCCATTGTCCCAATACCTCTCAGCATTTCTTAATCCAACATTCTGAAGTGACTGAAGACATCTCATTGTCCCAATACCTCTCATTGTTTCTTAATCCAACATTCTGAAGTGGCTGAAGACATCTTATTGTCCTCATACCTCTCAGTGCTTCTTAATCCAACATTCTGAAGTGACTGAAGATATCCCATTGTCCCAATACCTATCAGTGTTTCTTAATCCAACATTCTGAAGTGGCTGAAGACATCTTATTGTCCTCATACCTCTCAGTGTTTCTTAATCCAACATTCTGAAGTGACTTCGACTGTAGAGTGTAACATGGTCTTATTTCTGTGACTGATACAGTATCATAAGATTAATACTTGCATTTAAACTACTTTCAGATCTTGAACCTTAGATATGTACAAATAAAAGGCAAAGAATTCCATGGGTTTTTTGATTTAACACATTTTCAGTTTCTGTTGGGAACCCAAAGTTGAGAAGTTCGAAGAAAAGATTGTTTATATTGTGGAGTGTAATCATTGATACCTCCACTATGCATTTGAAGGCATATTTAAAAAGTGTTAAAGTCCATCTCATCATACTAGAGTGATTTCAGGATTTTTTGTTTATGTGTTGTTTGAAAACTTAGATGATAATTTAATATCTCATGTAGCAACCCAAATAAATTCTAAGTTAAAATAACTTACCATATTTTTACAGACTTTTACTGTCTTCATCTGATAAACATACATAATCTAATTACCTATCTTTCTATGCTCAGTTATGTTAGATGACTGTTTTAACACAGCACAAAGAAACCTGTTGGTATGTTCCATGAAGTACTGATATCTAGTATTCAGACACTTAAAATGTTCTGTTACTAAGATTTGAAAAACATTCTCAGGATTATGTAAGCCCAACTTTTGTTATTAGATGAATTTTAAATAAACAAAGAGGAGCTATTTGGAACATGTCTTCAGTCACTTCAGAATGTTGGATTATGAAACATTGAGAGGTATGAGGACAATGAGATGTCTTCAAATGAATCCTTTCTTAATCTAGTATAGATTAATCTTGATTCTGCTATTAATCCCATTATCCAGTTGAATCCAGAACATCTAACATGATTCTAGATCTCTTATGAATCCTTTCTTAATCTAGTATAGATTAGTCTTGATTCTGCTATTAATCCCATTATCCAGTTGAATCCAGAACATCTAACATGATTCTAAACCTCTTATGAATCCTTTCTTAATCTAGTATAGATTAATCTTGATTCTGCTATTATCCCATTATCCAGTTGAAGCCAGAACATCTAACATGATTCTAGATCTCTTATGAATCCTTTCTTAATCTAGTAGAGATTAGTCTTGATTTTGCTATTAATCCCATCAGCCAGATGAAGCCATAACATAAGAAGCTGGCTGGTAGGTTGAAACTTAAACTGAGTGAATAAAGATTTTGTTTTATTTGTCTACTTGTGTATTTGTATTTCCTTGCTGTCCGAGTTAATTTTAACTCAATATGTTTGGAACCCAGGCTTTGCAGATACTACATACTTTTCAGACAGATATCGTGTATTTGAATACCATAAAATTTAATAATTTTTCTGACTGAACTGTTCAGTCTTATACTTACTTGGCCTTGTTCTCTCATGTCTGGGCCTGGAATGTGATTTGTACAAGTTGGTATGAGGACCTGGGTCTGACATAAAAATGTAGTATCTCCATGATTCTAGATCTCTTATGAATCCTTTCTTAATCTAGTATAGATTAATCTTGATTCTGCTATTAATCCCATTATCCAGTTGAATCCAGAACATCTAACATGATTCTAGAGCTCTTATGAATCGTTTCTTAATCTAGTAGAGATTAATCTTGATTCTGCTATTAATCCCATTATCCAGTTGAAGCCAGAACATCTAACATTATTCTAGATCTCTTAACATTGTTTAAAATTTTACACTTCTTTAATTGTTATTTATTCTATGAAAGAATGACTACAGACAGGTTGGTCAAAGTATAGTTCATGAAAATGTAAATAATTTGAGAAATAGTAACTTTTGAAGTGTCCAGGAGATAATAAGTAGAATATGGTATGTACTGTTGACACAAATGTTTTCTGGTTCAATTATGTGTAAACATTGTGAAGATGAAATCCTTTGAAAAAGTATTTCTTATTCTTGTATGTGTTAGCGATTGATTAAATTAAAGTCTGTTGTTATTTTAAATATTTCATATATATATTAAGACAGTATCTTAAAAGTTAAAGAGGCCATTAGTTAACATGTTACATATTCTGGAAAGTTATGTCTAAAGGCTTTTCCAACAATCTGTTTATGAGTGGTTATGCCAACACTATAAGAATACCCAGCTATTTCAACACACTTTGTATCTGCTACTCACCCAGCAGAAAAACAAACAAACATGTTCCAGTTTAAAGATCAGTTAAGTTTTAGCTAATGTTTTCAGTAATTGTTGAATAATGTTACCTGCTGTAGGTGCGCATACAGTCTGCTGGAATAATTCAAATGTTGAAAACTGATTGAATATGAGACAACTGTGTACCATAATATAAAATAATCAATGTAAATACAATGAGGAGGTAAAGAAGTAACTGGACATTCTATGAAATTTTTCTATAGACAACTAATTAATGTTAAGGAGACCTCCATCCCTTGTACTGATGGTCAATTTAAAAAGCAGGCAGTCAGAAGTAATAAAGTTAAACCCTAAGAACTGGCTGAAGTGATAGTGAGATATGAAAAATATTCCAGTACTAAGAATTGTGATTTTAAATGACAAAGTAACAACAACACTAAATATAAATAGAACTATTGAAAGTAATAATAGAGAATACTGTACATAAGTTAATGGTGTAATACTGTACTCTATAAGGAGCTGTTATGTACTTTCAAACCATAACTTTGACCACTTAGTAAACATGAGGGTTCCTGTTTTTTCATGATCATAATTAGTAATATGTTGTCAATGAAGCTGTATAAATGATTCTTATAAATTATAATTTAATTTCAACTGTGCCATTCATTTGATTAAACAATTTAAGTTTAAAAATCTTGTCCTTTTAATTTTTTGTCTATTTTATTTATTTATTATTGTCTGAAATTTATTATAGAATGCAATATATTTTTAGTATCATCTGCATTTCTGTTTGAGTGACACATGTAATTATTTCTTTGTGTTACATGATATAATAACACTAGAAATATAAACGTTTTCCCCTTTCTTTATAGAGTGTAATTCTCAGTGACAGGCATTGCTTTGAATGCTATGGGTAAGTTGTTTATGTTACATCTATATATACATTGCAAAGGTTGTAACCTTGCACTAATCATCTACCTTAGATAAAGGTTACATACCACAATGCTTGTTCCATTGATAGTAGGACATTGTTTAAATTGGTGTATATTTGTTCATTGTTACAGCTGATAGTAGGACAGTGTTTAAATTGGAGTATATTTGTTCATTGTTACAGCTGAGGTCCTACTATCAGCTGTAACAATGAACAAATATACACCAATGTAAACAATGTCCTACTATCAGCTGTAACAATGAACAAATATATGCCAATTTAAACAATGTCCTACTATCAGCTGTAACAATGAACAAATATATGCCAATTTAAACAATGTCCTACTATCAGCTGTAACAATGAACAAATATATGCCAATTTA